AGGATCCATCATACGAGTTTGAATTCTCGGATTATCTTCTTCTCGATGATGCAATAGATCATCTTCAAGATCAGAATTGGTCGTCGCAACAAAATATTGAGTCAATGGAGGTAATTGAGGGAGCAAGCCCACCTACTTCTTATAATCCTACTCCTACATCCTCAACCAATAAAATCAACATGTAAGTATATTGATTAATTTAATTTATATATTTTGCTTTTGAGATAAATAAGTTTATAGTTATTGTTATTTTGATGATTGTGTACAGAAGATGTAAAAGTTATTTGGAAGGGGTGAAGAAAGAAAAGATGGAAGTGGGACAAAGGGTTGCATTCAGGACCAAATCGGAGATGGAGGTGATGGATGATGGGTTTAAATGGAGGAAGTACGGAAAGAAATCTGTCAAGAACAGCCCAAATCCCAGGTAAATTAAATTAGTTTGATAAATAAAAATACCCCAATATTATACATGACATGAATTATAGATCTATGTATATTTATATGTATATACATGTATATATGTAAGAACTAATAGAGACTAAAATTGGGTACAAGGAAATCAAATATCAAAATCACAAAATTGACCAGTCATTGAAGTTTAGTATTTGGCGACGTCTGAATGACATGCTTTTAGTCATATAGATATAAATGAAAGGTGAAATAATAGTATAGTGAGTGCATAGAATTTGAGTTGAAATCATAATGAATCACTGTGTGTAATGCTAGTGTGTGAATTATTATTTTCTTATATATAAATGTACATATATATACATATGTATATTCATGGCGTTTGTCGATCAATGATTTGAACGTTACAATAATAATGGACCCAATCTGCATTAATTGATGAATGTGTTTTGGCTGGTGTTAGTACAATTTGCCAATGAACTCTATATATATATACCTTAAGTACTTCTTTCTCAACATGTGTAATTTTCTTTCTCTCTTTTTGATACATACAGTATATATATATAGTGGGAGCCAATAGTAATCCACCTTGTTTCCAGTCGTCAGAAAGGCTACTACATTAGCTAGTTCTAATATATACATATAAAGATATATATAATATATAAGTAGTGATTTTGGATCATATATGTGTATATATGACATTCTAATCAGTTATTATCACAATAGCAATATATTGCTTCCCTATCTGCACTTCTTTGGCCAGCTCAGATATTAAATTTCAGCACAAATATATCAAATGCATATTTGTTAACGATATGCTTTCAATCTTTATGTGAGGGAAAAATATTAGAACATTTAATAATAAAATTGGTGATTTGTCTCAAACTAGAAGTACATACAAAATAGTTCCTCGTCGGATTCACCAAGTAATATTTATGGATGGGACACACTAGAAGATTTAGTTTCATTAATATAGTACTTATATATATAAACACATACGTATATATCCACATAATACACAGTCTCACAGTATTGTATAGAAAGTGCAAGTTGAGGATTTAGATATTTATATATGCTTGTGGTCCAAAAGGCTCCCTTTGCAAGTTGAATTTGGACAGACACTATTTTGTCTTATCAGCAAATACACATACATAGAGTGTGTGTTACATATTTTGTTGTGGTAATAATTTCAATGGTGAAAAGTATAAACTCCATCAGGAGTTGCTTTTGAAGTTAATATATAAAGGAAGAGAATAAGTAGTGGATAACATAAATGACCCACTTCCTTATATATTAACTAATCCCTATTTTAATATATAAGGAATTATTTTATGTATATATATTATTTTATTGGATTAGGAGTAAAGTAAGATTTAATATGTTGCAGGAATTATTACAAGTGCTCGAGTAGAGGATGCCACGTTAAGAAGAGAATAGAAAGGGAGAGAGATGATCCGAGGTACGTGATCACAACATATGAAGGAACTCACAATCATGAGAGCCCTTATGTCGTCTATTGCAATAAAATGCCCCTTATGCTCCCTACTTTACAAATCGCTCCTCTCCATTCTTCTTCTTCTTCTTGAAATTTTATATTTACAACCTCTTTCCTACTAAAAATAAATCAAAGTTTACATTCCTACTAATACTCTAATATTGCACTACCTATTGTTATATAGATATTTATATACATGTATATAAAATATATAAATTTCTAATCTCAAACTTTTTCAAAAATTTTATTTTTGAGGATATATTGGTGTAAATTAGACTCACTTCCATATCTTATTTCCTTGTGATGTTAGATAATCTTTTTTATGTTTAACCTTATGGCTCAATGTTCTATTGTCTTTTTTTTTTTTTTAATGATCAAGAAAAGATGGTTGTTTTTGTTAAAGTAAATTACATATTTTAAAGGAAAACGGAAGATTGAAAGGTTACACAATAAGCATGAGCTTACATCATATTTAACTTAAAAAGACTAGCATTGTACACAAATTACAATAAGCATAATATATAAGAAAGTTAAAAGGATTAATTAAAAAAATATATATGTCAAAATATAAACAATTGACTAAATTTCGATAGCTCTAAATTTTGAGATGATCAATTTAATTAATTACTTAATAACAATATTGACGACCGCGGCCTATTCTAAACTTAAATTAAGAGAACTAACATGTTGAACGGATTATACTATTGATTAATTTATTAATACTTAAATTATAGTGTTTGTTTATTAATTTATGCCGATAAATTAAAAGTTTATTTTTTTTCTTATGGATTCATGACATGGCTTGGTGTCATAACTTGATTAGCTTTCAAAAACTTAACCATTCTTTGGCCATAACATATTTTTTGACAATCCATTTTCATATACACTAAGATATGTAACACTAGAAAGAATTAATTTGAGAAGATTTTATTGTGTTTCTTCTCATTTATTTGACATGTATTTAAGTGGTGGTAGCTTCCATGTATAATTTGGTAATGCCAAGATTGCACACAAAAAAGGTTAGGGGTTAGAAAAGAAAAATTGAGGATCACTAGTGTGTAAATTATGTTGGCAATGATGAATGAGGTTCACCAGTGAATGTATGATGGTGGCAGTTGCAAAGAATCCTGTTGGCAGCCATGAGTTAGGTATATTAGAATTGTTGGATTTTGGGGTGGAAACCAATAATTCACTCACTATAAGGTCTATTATAGTCTTTGCTCCATTAAATAGTATTTTAATTTAAAGAATAAAAAATAAAACCAGAAATGGGAGAAGTTAAAAGTTCATTGTGCTTCAAAAATGTTAAGACCATTTTAATACCAATAGAGCTTGTCAAATCAATATGCTATGGAATGATCATATTAAAGTGTCTATATTATCAACATAAAATGATATCCTAACTACGGGACTCAATGATAAAAAATGGAGTTTCATTGGTTTATGTGGATCTTTTAATCAAAAGCACAAAACTCGGGACTTAATAAGAACTCTAG